CCCCAAAACCCCAAAACCCCAAAACCCCAAAACCCCAAGGAGAGAATTCGCCATTGATTCATGAGTTTGAATATTGTCTAACCCAATGTTATGCAGCCAAACTCAAGAATCAAACTTCCAGTTTCCAGGAAGAATTATACAGACAAGCTTTGTTGCAGGCTTAAGGAGGAGTTCACGCTATCAGAGATCTATGCCAGGCTAACTGTGGCTCCTTTATTTGCAATATTTGGGCCTTGAGAGTCTGGGTTTTAATTAGACCTATTTCTATGAGTTATGTAAGAGATTGAGACTCAATACTTCAAGATCTTGGAACAGCCAGATAAGCTCCACCTAATGCCTCACAATATTGGATAAGTTGAAGAGATGCAATCGAAGGGGATATTGTTTTAAGCATAGTGGCATCCACATTCAAACCAAAATGCTGTTCCAAATTATTTCTCACTGATGAAAGGACAAGGAGTTGGAGTTTTGGTTGAAGACAATCGAGAATTCTATTTCCATTTAGCTTTAAGTAAATAATGAAGAACTTCTCCTGCTTATAGGCCAGCCACAAGAAGTGTTTTAAAACTAAAAGTTAGTGGAAAACTAAAGTTCCAGCTAACAACTGAGAGAGTTGAGACTTAATTTAGCCAAACAATGCTTGTGTGCGAGGAACTTAATTTATCATCATTGTGTAAAGGGACAATGTGGTTGCTCCTGGGTTAAGCCTATTACTCCCTCTTAAAGATTTCCAATACTAAATTTTCAGATTGCCCACATTGTTAGAATATTCCAGAATATTAAATTGATTAAACTAGATGCTTCTTAGGAATCCTAAAATCCGAAATAGCAGGCTACAACTTCTTTGTCATGAAAGACATCGAGAACTGCACCTCAGCAATGCTCTAGCGCTTTAAAGAGTCTGAGAGACAGAGTTCTTTGCTAGGAGATAAGGCTTATAATTTGGTATTGCTAATTGCTGCGCTTTCCATGACTTTTAAAACTAGTCAGCTTGGTGTTAGACTAAATGTCAGTTTTGAATGGATCATGAATCAACAAAATTTCAAAAATATTTTCAGTTTTAATCCTGATATTTGATGCTTATTTATTCAGTGTTATCAGATTATGATAAGATGTCTACAATTAGCTCATATGCTTAAACAAGGAGGCATGATAGCAAGAGAAAGCTAAGATGCTTCTAAACTTAAAATATTGAGAAAATTTCTTGGATGGAGATTTGAGAAAATGAGCTTAGCCTATGTTGTTGCTAAATCAGCCATGAAAGCTCCTACAAATTGATGATTCTCTGAGTTTGATCGCCTGAAAGCTTTCAGGAATATATTTATGTTTCTTTTAAAACTAAAGAGTTAATGGAAAATGCAGTTCAGCAGCATTTATTAGGCCTTGAGAAAGAACTTTCTGTGTAAAAGGAGGCTTAGCAAAAACTCTATCTTTACTCTGAAGGCTATTTCAACTAAATAAGTTAATGAGCTTCAGTTCTTTGCTTCTTGATATCTTTTGGAACCCACTAAATTACCATGGAAAAATACCTTTGAATTTCTAAATAATTAAAAGAGTGATTCATGTGTCATCAACCATAAGAATATGAAATCGCTCAAGTTGTCCCAACCATCCCTGAGAATTATGCTCAACAACCCGTGGCCCCAAACAATTAGCATGATGTAGAGAGAGTCTATAATTTAAGACTCCCACCCTCCTCCCAGCCTTTAGTCATGATGTTTCTGCTTCTTTCAAAACTGAGCTGCAATAGTTTTTGCTGAAAAAGGATTTAGTCAGAGTCTCAACTTTTAAGTGAATTATCCCTTTTAAAATCATAATGTCATTAGAATAACTAAAAGGGAAGACTCTGGAAATAAAAGAGAGCTTTCCAGGATCCTAAATTTAGTTGAAATCCCTGCATCCTTCTTCCAATTCAGCCATTTATGGACTTTGTTAAAAATATTTAACAATGAATTTGGGTATTATCTAACCAATTTAGAGATAATTAACTATTAGAAATAGTTGCTGAAGCTAAGCCAAAAAACAGAAGAACCTACTTTATCTCAAGTAAGAGAAATAAGCTTCAGAGGATTAATAGGTCTTCAGGAAATTAGTGGAGGATTGTTGTTAATATACCCACTGATGTCCAGATCCGACGAAGATCAACAAGCAGCCTTACATTCTTCTATCAATTTCGTAATTTGCTGTAATCACCAGATCTTTTGAAATATATCTCTTTGTGTTTCAGAGTCGTGAGTTTTGAGCACAAGAGCAATATTATAACAAGCATTTAGTAAGTCTACTAAGCGCTACTTTAAGTTGCCATAAAATTTAAAGACATTTTGTGGATCTAAAAACAGCCTGGTGAAAACAAAATATTGCTTTTGAGCTATATTTGAAGCCCACCAAGCGAGAAGAAAGCTCCCAAAATGCTGAAGAGGCACTAGGATTATAGTCTGAAACTATTGTCACCTATTGTTGTTTCCTAGTTTATATACCTTCTAGTCTGTCTGCTTCTGAGTACCTTTGACATTCTTTCTTGAGCTTCAGAATAAAATTCAGAGCACACTTGCATAAAGACGAGTCAATGAAGTTCACCAGAGAAGGTAAAACTAAGTCTATTTGTAAAACTTTACTGCCAAGTCTGACCAACGAATAATTTGAATGGAGAGTCCAAGTAATTTCTGTTAAAAATAACCTTCAAGCCGTGCTGCATAGACCGGACCCATAGCAGAGAATAATTTTAGAATAGGGCTTCCAATATTCTATTTCTTATTGCTAGTAAAAGCTCCAGAATAAATTAACTGGAGGACGAAATCTTGGAAATTGATGTAAAAAGGTGGAGCTGATTGCTAAAATGCTGGGCTGTCCTTCCCAAACTAGGCTGCTTATATTTATTTTAGAGTTAACAATAGTTTGAATAGCTTTTCCAAGTAGTATAAAGATCCTTTGTGCTCAAATAATACTCTGGAAGGCATAGGAATTATACCAAGTTGGCAGGAATTATGGCTCTAACAAATAAATTAAGACTAGCTTAAATTTTATGGTTCTTTCACTCTTTCATTACTAATTGCCAACTTGATAATGGCTTCAGAGTTATATATCTCTTGGTGAGAGTTCAGTTCGTTGCGACTAGACCAGGAAGTTTGTCTAGTTTCGGTTTGATTAAAGATGTGTTCGGGAAACTATGACAACCAAATCAGCTAATTAGATATTGGAATTTCACCAAAATTTTCCTTCAGTTAACCTCGATGAAGACCCTCTAATTCAGCCTGATGCTAGATCAGAGTTTTAAAATAGAGGAGAGATGTTAGACCGAGAATTCATTTAAGAATCTTATAAAAACCTGTTGTTAATTTAATGTCTTTTCCTTGAGAGATAAACTAAGACCTTGAGTTCCTTCCTAAAACTTTTTGTAGAAGTCTTTTGGTAAAATTTAGCAGCTAGAGGCTTGTTTCGCATAGAACTTTGATTGAACAAAAAGCAAGAAAGCCTCTGAAAGATGTCTAAGCTGGTGGTTAAGTCTTATTCTAAGAAGAAGTCTCAATAATTTTAGAGAAGGAAAGCTACTAATTGGAAAAAATAAACAGACATCTACTTATCGTCATTAAAATACAGAAACTAAACTCAATAACATTCTACATTTTGGACTGACAGGGTGGTATCTTTGAGAAATAAGTCGATAAAAAATATATCGAGCAAGCTTCCAAGAGTTGGCTTGATTCTTAGCTATTTCCTGCTTTTTATTTCTCAAAGTCAACGACTATCAAGTGGAAACTTGTAAGATTTAATAATTTAATGAAGTCATTAATCGCTAACATTTTAGTTTTAATGCGATTGACCAATCGATTCAGGAATCTCTGAAATTATTAGAAGATACAAATTAGTTAAGGCTTGTCCCTCTATCTCACCTGCTTGCTAGATTACCCATAAATTTGTCTGCCAATCAGTTATTAATTGCTCATACCTAATTATCTTGTGAGTCCTTAATTAATACAAATTTAGGAAATAAGAGGCCAGAGGGAGGTTAAAATTATAACCGAAGTCTCAGTGATGAACTTTGGAGTAATCAAGCTCAATGGATACGATTCCTAACCCAAGTTTGAAGGAATGGTGAGTTTAGAAAACGATTTTATTTGAAATTTTATCATAAATTAGTTATTTAGCCTTCACTTCTGATTGTGAAGCTGTAGCCTTCGAAAGTTGATGAGTGCCGTCTTGTTTATGAGTTCTTATGTGAGCCTATAATGACATTAGGTGTTTTCACTTGTGCAAGATCCAACAACTTATAGAAACTAAACTCAATACAAATGGACATTAACAACTAAAGGATAGGTACTTACAGTCAGGTTGTACTTCTCAGTGTACTTCTTCTTGCAAACCTGACACTGGAACAGCCTCCTCTCCTCGATGCTTCTGTGTTGGTGCTGTTTTGAGTGTTTCTTCAGGTTGCCTTTCTGTGTGAAAGCTTTGGAGCAGAAGATGCACTTGTACGGTTTGATGCCTTCGTGCATTCTGGCATGGTCGACCAGGTTCCAGATCTTCGTGAACTCTCGGTTGCAGTTGTCGTACTTGCAGATGTAGACAGTGATGGTTCTGCCACTCACAGGAAGTGTTTCGACTCTCTTGGCATGCTTAAAGGGTTTGAGTAGGTTCTCATAAAGTCCAGTTTTAGAAACTTTAGACTCTTGTTTTGTGGAGACTTCTTTGAGTTGTTTGTATGTCTCATAGTGCAGCATCTCATGTGACTCATAAGTGAGAGTATCCTTTACCTCCTCATTGATTTTGTCATGTTTCTTTTGATTTTGGGTTGTTTTAGTAGTTGCTATATACCAATTTACTTCATGAAAATTAGTCACATCATCCAAGGAATATAAGTTACCTTCAGAGTGTCTGGGTTTGTCTCTCACTGAAATAAATGATTGTTGAACACAATCTTCAAAGCAAAAAGTATCGAGACTATTGGCAGTGATCATAATGAGGCTTGTGCAAACAGCTCTGCACTTAGCTAGGCTCTGCAAGTAATTTAAAATCTGCATCTTAAGTAAAGATTGGGAATCCATAATATATATCTTATTAATTGTTATTACTCTCAGTTTATAAATGGTGCCCAGGGGTTTTGGGGTTTTGGGGTTTTGGGGTTTTGGGG